TGGAAGGATGCTCCAAACTGGGAATTGCTGGAATGGGGAAGGTGTGAATGAGCCTGGAAGGATGCTCCAAACTGGGAATTGCTGGGGAATGGGGAGGTGCCGACAGGCCTGGGAGACGTGGAGCTGGGAATTCCTGTGGAGCTGGGAATTCCTGTGGGAATGTGGAAGGTGTTAAGGAGAACCTGAGGCTGAGGGGGGCCGCAGAGGGGGGACCCCTCTCCCCCTGAGCCCAGAGGGAAACGCTGGGATCGGAAGCCGGGATTTGATCCCAAGCAGCTCCCGGCCCCCGCAGGCGTCACCTTCTCGGACACGGCGAGCGCCACGGAGCCGTGCAAGCCGTGCACGCAGTGCGAGGGGCTGCAGAGCATGTCGGCGCCCTGCGTGGAGACCGACGACGCCGTGTGCCGCTGCGCCTACGGCTACTTCCAGGACGAGGCCAGCGGGAGCTGCCGCGAGTGCCGCGTGTGCGAGGCGGGCTTCGGCCTCATGTTCCCCTGCAAGGACTCGCAGGACACCGTGTGCGAGGAGTGTCCCGAGGGCACCTTCTCCAGCGAGGCCAACTTCGTGGACCCCTGCCTGCCCTGCACCACGTGTGAGGAGAACGAGGTGCTGGTGCGGGAGTGCACGCCCGTGGCCGACGCCGAGTGCCGGGGTAAGAGCCGAGCCGGGCGTCGCGGTGTCCTTGTCCTTGTCATTGTCATTGTCATTGTCACGGCTCTGCTGCCACCGCAGGGATGTTCCTGGTGCAGCTGCCAGGGGAACATTCCCCGTGGAGCTGCCGGGGGAACATTCCCAGTGGATCTGTCAGGGGAACATTCCCGCTGGAGCTGCTGAGAGAACATTCCTGGTGGAGTTACTGAGGGAACATTCCCAGTGGATCTGTCAGGGGAACATTCCTGGTGGATCTGCTGAGGGAACATTCCCGGTGGATCTTCCAGGGGAACATTCCCGGTGGATCTGCCGGGGGAACATTCCCGGTGGATCTTCCAGGGGAACATTCCTGGTGGATCTGCTGAGGGAACATTCCCGGTGGATCTTCCAGGGGAACATTCCCAGTGGAGCTGCTGGGGGAACATTCCCGGTGGAGTTACTGAGGGAACATTCCCAGTGGAGCTGCCAGGGGAACATTCCCAGTGGAGCTGCCGGGGGAACATTCCCGGTGGATCTGTCAGGGGAACATTCCCAGTGGAGCTGCCAGGGGAACATTCCTGGTGGATCTGTCAGGGGAACATTCCCAGTGGAGCTGCCAGGGGAACATTCCTGGTGGATCTTCCAGGGGAACATTCCCGGTGGATCTGTCAGGGGAACATTCCTGGTGGATCTGCTGAGGGAACATTCCTGGTGGATCCGCCAGGGGAACATTCCTGGTGGATCTGTCAGGGGAACATTCCTGGTGGATCTCGGCCTGGCTTTAGGGAGCCGCGCTGGGATCTGGCAGTGCTGGGCCAGAGAAAGGAGCCGGGGTTTCCTGCCTGTCCCTGTTGGCA